AAACGGTCCCAAGCCAACCAGCGGAGGCAGCCCGAAAATTACCACCTATACCACCAGCTCTCGCAGCAGTCCTCGATCTCCACCATTAAAGTGGAGCTCCAGCACCTGATTCTGTCGATTCTCGACGACCCTGTCGTCAGTCGGGTCTTCGCTGAAGCGGGGTTTCGGAGCTCGGAAATAAAGTTTGCAATTTTACGCCCTTTTCCTCAGATTCTCAGATACCCGCGCTCCAGAGGCCACCATCCTCTGTTTCTCTGCAACTTAGCCGAGTACGCGGACCCCGGTCGCCCGACCCGAACCGTTTTAACTGACGGGGACGAGAATTCGAGGAGAATAGGAGAGGTTCTCGGGAGAAACAGAGGGCGGAATCCTCTGCTTGTGGGCATATTCGCTCACGACGCACTCAAGAGCTTCGTGGAGGCTCTGGAGAAAAGAGACGGCGGCGTTTTGCCGGCGGACCTGTCTGGGTTGTCTGTAATTTCAGCGGAAAACGATGTCTCAAAGTTTATCACCGCAGATAGCGATGAAGGGTCGGTGAATTTGAGGTTCGGAGAGGTGGGTCGGGTCGCAGAGCAGAGTTTGGGGCCTGGGATTGTTCTGAACATTGGGGACCTGAAAGCGTTTGTGGCTGAGAACGCGGTGGCTGACTCAGTGAGTCACGTGGTAACCGAATTGACAAGGCTGCTGGAGCTTCAGCGCGGGAAAATTTGGTTGATTGGTGCAACGGCTAGCTATGGAAGTTACTTAAAGTTCGTGGAGAGGTTTCCATCTGTGGAAAAAGACTGGGACTTGCAGCTTCTGCCCATCACTTCTCTCAGAGGTGCTTCCATGGCTGAATCATATCCCAGGTCCAGGTGAGTTATTGCCTCCTAATCCATATTTTTATGTTCATTTTATTCAAAATTTTTGAGAAAAGATTCAAACTTAGGTGCAAGCGGTATACAAATTTAATCAGTTTTAAGTTTGGTGACACATGTGGATGTGGAAGCCTTTTATGTTTTGTTTGCTTCTGAATTATAAAATTTGTGTTTCCTTTGCTTTAGATGCTCTGGATGTAGTTTCCCATACAATTTAGTCCCACAATTTATTTCTTTGCTAATCTGATGTGAGAGTTGTACTTCTTTCTGTTATAATTTTTTTCTTTCACTAATTGAAGATTTGTAAAGATCAAGTTATACGTTGCGACCTTATGTCTATTTATACAAGAATTTTTGACAATCTTCGATGAAAAGCATAACCTTTTCACTGATCGGACACTAAACAGACAATAAAGGTGCACGAGAGGGACACTAAGATGTATTTTATTGCTAATTAAGTTCCCGTGCAGCGAAAAAGTTCTAATTTTTATTGAAGGTTTCTAAAACGTTTTTATCTATGTATAATTTCCCTATAGTTTACGGTCTTCGGAAAAGTTTAAAGTCTCTAGGGGCCAAGTCCTTTTCTCTTGGCTACAATCGTATGGCCTTCTTCATCGCATCCAACTTCTTCCCCAGTCTAAATCGTTAATAGACTGGGGAAGAAGTTTAAAAGTGCATCCTGCATGCCAAAAGTGTATAGAACTCGTATTTTCAGATTAAATCCTGACTGTATGATGTCTGTTGAATCTCACAGTTTCCTGGTCATGATTTACTTACAGGTTGATGGAGTCGTTTGTTCCATTTGGTGGATTCTTTTCAGCACCTTCTGACCTAAAGCTCCCAATAAGTAGCTCGTATCAATGTTTTCCCCGCAATCATCAGTGCAATGAAAAAAGTGAGCAAGAAGCGTATTCTGTTCCGATGGGAGGTATTATGGCTTCAGTGGCAGGTCAGCCCCCAGCTAGTTTGCCTTCTTGGTTGCAGATGGCTCCTCTTGGCACAAACAAGGGATTGGATATGAAGGTGTGTATCACGATCAATACATATTTGATTCTGATTTTAATTGTCTAAATTGTGCAATGTGCCAAACCTCTGGATTGGGAATGTATGATGCGAACTGAACTCCTACTTGCATTACGCATTCGGTAAAGTTTTATTCTTTTTGAATTTTAAGCCTTTCCCCCATGGTGTCCATTAACTGATAGAGAATTATTCCCATTAAGATTTTTATTTTGGCTAAAAGTAGGCACAGCCGTATGTTCGATAATACCTCCTCTTTATGCAGTAGGACAATATCTGGTATCTTGGGCTTTGTTTTTCTAGTTAACAGTGAAATCATTACTTCAAACTACAGGGTTTTTACGTTATTCTTTTGAAAACTAGTTTGTATCTCTTCAGTGCAGACCAAAGACGATGGTGTGTTATTGAGTGCCAAAGTTTCAGGATTGCAAAAGAAATGGGATGATAAATGCCAACATCTTCACGACTCTCGTCCCCTGCCGGAAGCAAACTTCTTTCCAACTATAGTAGGATTTCAGTCTCCTGAAGACAAGAGGTGCAATCACGACAACACCATCAATATATCTTCACGTAAAATTGAGTGCAAGAATGCAGATTCATGCATGGCCGCAGATGTGCAAACACAATCAAGCCTTCCTCCAAAGGCTAAGAATGACAGTTTCTCTTCCGAAGTCTGGGAAAAAACTTCAAAAGATGAAGATCTTGAGTCGGCTGGCCTCAGGTCACCCTGCATGTCCAACTCTAGTGTGGTTGATGGAACATCTGCCACATCAATCACTTCCGTCACCACAGATTTAGGGTTAGGAATATGCTCTTCTCCTGCTAGTAATACACCGAATAAACCTCCAGATCTGAATCAAGCACTTCAACAGGACATCTCGGGTTGCTTTTCCTCTAATATTGATTTAGTCAACGGGAATCTCTATTATACTCGATCATCATCTTGCTCGAATCCTGACAACCATGGGCAGTTTGATCCAAGTGATGTCAAGATGCTTTTTAGAGCTCTCTTTGAAAGGGTTGGCTGGCAAACTGATGCTGTAAGTGTAATTAGCCAAAGGATAGCTAACTGCCGATCTAGAAGTGAAAAATTCTGTGGAGCAAGTAACAGAAGGGATGCATGGTTCAATTTTACAGGACCTGATAGGTATGGTAAAAAGAAAATTGCCATTGCCCTTGCTGAGGTATTATACGGAAACCAGGAACAATTGATCTGTGCGGATCTAAATTCTCAGGATAGAATGATCCCTTCAGACACAAATCTTGATTGTTCAGTGGTGAATGGTTATGACATCAGGTTTAGAGGTAAGACAGTTCTTGATTATGTTGCCGGAGAATTGTGCAAGAAACCCTTGTCCATTGTCTTCTTAGAAAACGTAGACAAGGCTGATGTGGTGACTCAAAATGGTTTGTCCCAGGCCTTATTGACTGGTAAATTTTCCGATTCCCATGGAAGACAAGTAAGCACCAATAATGCGATATTTGTCACAACTTCGACATTCTCAAAGGGATGCAATATTCTTACTTCCACAAAGGGACCCTCCCACTATTCCGAGGAAAGAATCTTACAAGCGATAGAGCAGCCTGTGCAGATTACTATTGAATGTGCCTCTGAAGACAGCAGCAAAAGCAAAAACTGGAAGGCATCCACGAATCAACATTTTCTAAATAAAAGGAAACTGGTCGGTGTCAATGAACCTCTAGAGCAGCATGAAGTCTCAGAGATGCCCAAACGGGCGAACAAGACGTCAACTAGGTATCTGGATCTCAACCTTCCATCTGAAGAAAATGCAGTGGAAAACAGAGACGATGGGAGCTCTGAAAACGACTGGCCATCTGAAAACTCCAAGTCCTGGTTGCACGACTTCCTTGATCAGGTGGGCGAAACAGTGGTATTCAAGCCCGTTGATTTTGACGCACTTGCTGAGAAAATATCAAAGGAAATCAAGAATAGCTTCCGCAAGGTTGTCGACTCAGAGTGCCTGCTAGAAATCGATCCAGAAGTCGTGGAACTACTACTTGCAGCTCTATATTTGTCAAACAGGTCTCGGGTGGTGGAAGATTGGGTGGAGCAAGTACTCAGCAGGGCATTTGCAGAAGTTAAGAAGCGACATAACTCGAACACAGTCACTACCGTAAAACTTAAAACTTGCGAGGGGATTTGGTTGGAACGTCGAGCACCACAAACTTATCTTCTCCCTAGCATTGTACTAAAATGACTGCCAAGAAAGGTTTAGTATTGGAAATTTGTAAGTAGATGTACAAGGAAGGTAGCATATGTAGCTTTGTTGTAAGCCATGTTTAGCCTTTTGCTGCTGTTATTATTGGCCAGTCTTGCAAGTCTCGTAATCCCATATGGTTTTGGTGGGCTTTTGTTCGATCATCATATATAATGTGTAGCAAGTGTGTGTAATTTTGTGTCTTCTATGTGTGCCAATTGCCAAAACCAGAGAAAGGATGAACCCTGCCAAAACAAGAAGCATTGCTCGATGGTCTCAAAAGTCTCGAGCTTTGAGGTCTTGAGTGGCTATATTTCTAAATTTTGAAAAAATAAAACGAAAAGTTAAAATACGAGTTAGTTTTATAAATTTCCCCTCAAGATTCGAACTTGGGAAGTTTTTTGACATTTGGAGAGAGATGTGCTTTCATTTTGGATTCCCGACCATTTTGGCATTAGTTAAAAGGGGAAAATGACCTAGATCTCAACGAATCCATTGCCCAAACACAAAAGATCATTCGAGGATTGAAAATCGAGACTAAAAACTAGAATTATAGTTCAAGATTCTAACTTGGGACGTTTTCTACCCAACGTGTTAACATATGAAAATAAGTATTCAGATTCAACCAAATAACTTTTAGTCTAATCGTACTTTCCTTCTCAATATTAGAAGATGCCTCAATTTCGAGCACTAATCTTTACTAATAAAAACAAGAGCGCTACCATTTGAACCACCTTTCTTGACGAGGTCAAAGTTGGTCAACACGGTGGTCAATAAATGCGTTACAAATTCGGGTTATATTATTGGGCTGGCCCATTATGAGAAACCCACTACCAATATCTGAAGCCCAAGCCCAATTGAAATCCCGGGTCTCCCCCTTTATCTAATCCGTCCCTACTGTTTCTACAAAAATATATATCAAATTACAAACAAATTGGGAAAAATGCCATCGTCGAGCCCTCGCACCGTCGAAGAGATCTTCAAGGACTACAGCGCCCGGCGCTCCGCCGTCATTCGAGCCCTCACCTACGGTTCTCTCTCCCTCTCTCTTTCTCTCTCTACATTTCGGTTTCATACATATACTGCATTGCTTGTATCGTGATGTTCGTTGACGCTTTTGCTTCCTTTTGCACTTCCAGATGTGGACGAGTTCTATTCGCTTTGCGATCCAGGTATTTTCTTGTTTCGATTTTCTTTCTTGTTGTTAGTTTTCTGTTTGGTTGCCGAGAAAGTTGACTGAAAATACAGGCTTGACCGCTTGAGCATAAGTATGTTTATTTATCTGTTAATTATCATATTGGTGATTAATTTGTGTCAAATTTACTTTCCGAGTGAGGATAATAGTCGTTATAGGTTTTGACTAGGGAGGAATGTTGCAACAAGCATGATTTAGTGCCTTGGTTTTGTTTCGATTTCTGCTTTTTGTAGGTAACCTAACAAAGTGCATTGTTGCTCGATTTTCGCTTTTTGATTCTACTATTCGTATTATAGTGGTTGTTTAATTTAATTGGAGTAGAGGATTACTTCTGTTTGATTTCGGATTTTTTTCGTTACGGACGGTCTTTACTTATATGTCTTTCAGAGAAGGAGAATTTGTGCTTGTATGGACACCCGGATGAGTCGTGGGAGGTGACTCTGCCGGCGGAGGAAGTTCCCCCGGAGCTTCCTGAGCCTGCACTGGGCATCAATTTCGCAAGAGATGGGATGAACCGTAAAGATTGGCTGTCATTGATTGCAGTACATAGCGATTCTTGGTTGCTCTCTGTGGCCTTCTACTTTGGTGCTCGACTTAATCGGAATGAGAGGTTTGTTTATTCTTGTCCTAGAGTTGACGGTTGATATTTTTCTTATATTCAAATGTTGAATATATTCATGTTTGATTGTTTGCTCTGCGACCTGCGGAAGTAACAGTACTATTTGATTCTGGATATTACCATAAGGTTTCTATGTTCTTGTGCGCTTTCCAAAATTCTTTCCTTTCTATTTCATCAACTCTTATTGTCTGGTTGCACGGAAGATTAGTATTGGCCCAAGATCTGGTTATGACAACTGATGGCTGAAACTTGTAATGGATGGTGACAAACTTAGGGGGTGTGATATTGTAACATTTGTCAATGTTGATTATTTGAAAACCCTAGCAATAACCAGCTCTTGGCGGATTTCTCTGTTGTTGTGTTATTGTTACTTTTCCCCTTTTAATATGCCTCTTCCAATTATTATGGAACTAGTAGCGTTCGTTACTCTACAAAAGATATGTTGGTTGCCTATTTTGCTTGAAACATATCGGACAGCTTTTCAGTTGTTATGCATATGCGTGTATTACATATGCACATTCTGTTTTGTGGTCCTTAAATGAGGTTGTGCTTTTCAGTTATTAGAATTTAGATCAAATATGGTACAGGAACTGCAATATATATATGCATGGTGTCCTAAATACTTTTGAATTTCTTTACAAGTTAAAAGATTCTGCGTTTTCTTGGACATTATTTATGTTGCAAGATTTTCTTTAATATCTTAAGAATTCACGTTGATTTATCTGGGATGAACTCACAATTGTTTCTTTGACTAAAAAAGACCTCTATCTCTATTATTTGAATTGTTGAGATTGCTAAACATTCCTTGGATGTTAGTTCTAGGTGCACAGGTTTCTGATATTTACATAAACAATTGTCTGAGACCGAAAAAGAGCACAACCAATTGCAATGTATATCACCAGAATGGTAGAAAGTAAAGTCTTTGTTATTGCAAAAGAGTTGTGAATACTTGTATGCTTGGACAATTAAATGTAAGTGAAGCTGTTGATTCTGCATCCGCATACAGCCAGTTCAGAACTTTCATTCTCACTTCCCTCCTATATTATTTCCTGCCCCGGCCTCTAGCTCCGTGATTCAGTGGATATTGATCGCTCAGGCACTTGGAATAGTGTAGTTCTGTTTGGTTCCACCATTTTATATTAATGCAAATTGTTTTCTTTACCTTACCAACATGTTGAAATTATCATGAAACTAAATTGTGGTTTGCTGGGCCATCGATCCTGGAACAGGAAGCGTCTGTTTAGCTTGACTAATGATATGCCTACGATCTTTGAAGTCGTAACTGGAAGGAAGCCTGTAAAAGACAAGCCCAGTGGGGATATTGGAAGCAAATCCAGGAACTCAAAGGTGAAACACTCTCTCTCTCTTGGAAACTATTGGCTGCCGAAAGATATGTGGATCCGCTTTCCCTTTGTGCAAAATATGGGCTTATGACCCACTTGTGTGTTTGCAGAGATCGATTGACGGACAAATAAGGACCAACAATAAGGTACACGATGCAAGCTATGCGGAGGATGAAGATGAGCATAGCGAAACCCTATGTGGAAGCTGTGGAGGAAATTACAGTGCTAATGAGTTTTGGATCGGCTGCGACATCTGTGAGAGGTGGTACCATGGGAAGTGTGTCAAGATAACACCAGCCAAGGCAGAATCCATTCCGCAGTACAAATGCCCTCCTTGCAGCACAAAGAAGAGCAAGTAGTGATGAGTAACAAAAACCTCAGGAGCACTTACGTATGGCCGACAGATACTCTCTGGCCGTTGTTATTCATTTTCTGTGCCTACTCTCTGGTCATGCCGCCTTGGTTCCGGTCATGACGTCATTGTATTTTTTTCCCCCTAGTATTTTGCTCCCTTCGGATATATGTTCCTTCTCTAATGTACAAAATAGAACTTGTTTCATTTGTGTTATTTTATGAATCGTTTTTAAATTTTAGTTATTAAAAGATGTTTGTGATTTTGGTTTTTGACTCTGAATTGCGCTATGATGCTCATGCATCATTTTGGGAATAAAAGTTCTCTTGGCAAGTTTTTTCCATCTAAAACTAGGCAAGAATTATTAAAATATTTTTATTTTGGCCAAATTGGATAAATGGTCGTTATGGTGATGAGGTATTCGAAACGTAGCCTATGTGGTAAAAAAAAATTCAGATTTAAGCCTTTATGGTGAAGTCTATTAGGACTTATGACCAAAACTCAAACTTTCGTTTTTCCTCTGTTAGTAGCTTACATGTGAGGATCACGTGTGAGGCTAAGATGATCGTTTCAGCCCTTCCATAGTTGGTCTCCCTCCCTTCTCCAGCTGGGTGATGAAATTACAGTGTCGATTCTAAAGATCGAAATCGCAATCGCAATCACAATCATCATTAGAAATCAGTGTGAAACGGTGAAATCGTAATCGCAATCATCGTCAGAAATAAAAATGGATTTTGAAAATGTTAGTGCTGCAAGATCCAAATATTTTTCTTTTTGTCGCTCTACCACTGTTTTCGACCCCATTCATCTCCTCCACGATATTTCCATTCTCTTATCTTCTAGAGTTTTGCTGTTTTGACTAAGAACATACTCCCAATTTTCACAGGACCCAAATTCTTTTTCTGATCAGCCCATCCACTACCTGTCATATAGGCAACATCCTGACAGCCTCCTTCCCAAGGATTGACACCATTATCCCAACCCCCTTTGGTGGAGTGATACTGTCCCCCCATCTGGTTCCATCCCCGCGACTCATTCCTGCTATCTTGCCATGCATTCTTCTCCGTGTTTCAGAACTGGGAACGTCAGGAATGAGGGTTTTAGTTATGGGCACACTACTAACATGAAATGATCATCTTAGTTTCACATGTGACCCTCTTGTTTAGTCTACTAACGGAGGAAAGACGAGAGCTTGAGTTTTTTGTATAAATCATAATAGACTTCATCACAGGAGTTTAAATCCGATTTTTTTTACCACAAAAGTTATGTTCCGAATAACTTACTATCACATGAACCATTTATCCGATTAGACCTTTTGTTTTCAAGTGATTTGCAGCTTGACACGTATAGAACCGATAAGCTCGATTATGAAATCATATATTTTTATACGAAGCTGCGTAGCGTTAACGGGTCTTATACGACATTGAAGTGTGCATCAATTTCGAATTAGAAAATTGACTGTGCAACAAAATATCCCCAACGTTAGCTCTGAAATGAAATCATTTTCCAATTTCCATCTTGTCAGCCCAGTCTTTTCAAAAGCAGTTTATAGATTGATTGGGTTGGCGCCAAGTCTTGTTCAAGTGCCTTGTGGAAACGTTGTCATCACAAAATTGTTTGCAACTTTTTTACTTGAAAAGATATTAGATAGTGACTCCGTCATGATAATTCATTTTTTTTAAGAGTTGATAAGATTTACAGAGGTATTTCAGTCTCTTTCTAACCATCATCGTGTGATTTACCAATGCTAATAATTAAACTTAAAACGTGCTATATGAAATACAAATTTAAAATTTGTCTTTAAACTAAGTCATCCAGCGGTGGTTAACTTTCTTACTTCCTTATTAAGTCCAAAAGTAAAAGGAAATTAAAGAAAATTCAGGTGCAATGCCGACCACCACACAATCTTAATATTCTTTATTATAACAAATTATTAGCAACCATAAATAAAAAAACGTGCTGGTTTTTAGCCACGTGCTCATTTGACTTTTAGCTCTATGTAGGCCCCATGAAAAGTTTGAAACTTCTTCTCTAGGAAACCGAATCCTCTCCGGATCTAAAGGAACTGAATCCAAAGATCAAATGATCTGAGCTATTAAAATTTGATATCCATCGGCTACAATTATTATAACTTTTAGAAGACTCTCTGTTTGTAACTGTTGAATCAAATTTCAATGATCCGGATAATTTGATGAGTAAGCTCAGTTCCTTTGGGTCTGGAGGGGATCCGGTTCCCTTGTTTAGTGGCTTTGGCCGCTACTTGCTAGGTTTACCTTTGATTCTTTAATATAAGGCTAATGATATGGAGATTAAATTTGTCGACTAAATTTTGTAAACTAAACAATATGTAACTTAAGTGTTGATTAACGTGCTTATTTTTTATTGGTGACACATCTTGTAGTTTGCAAATTTGATTTAATTTTTTTGTCTGCTAGCATTATCCTTAATATAAATAAATGTTACCTCCTGCTCTCGTTTGCAATCGTATGCATCAACCTCTTTGTCATTGTGAGTTTTTAGTCAAAATGATATCTGAAATTAGTATAACTTTGAGTTTGAGGTGTATTCAATTGGGATTTTGAGGAATTTTAATGGATTTACAAATTCATTGATCTTGATAGAGTTTAACTTATTTGTCGCCGCTTAGTATTACTGTCTAGTTTCTTCACTTGTAAGTGAGAGGTCTTATGTTCAATTCTCGTCAAAGGTAAATTTGAACCACATTTATATGTCTAGCTCAATGTGAGACTTAGTCCACTCCACCACGCCTTTAGTGTAGATAATATCGTTTGTTTAAAAAAAAATTGATTTGTAGAGATTCCATGTGAAATTTTGATATATATAATTAGCTCGAAATCTCATAGGGAGAGGTGATATCTAGATTTTTAAGGATTTTAATAAACTATCTTAAAATTCTGATTGAATACATTTTGAATTTTTGAAAGTCACTTAAAATTCTAACGGAATATCTCTAGATTCATTAAAAAAATTAAAATATCTCAAACTTCTAATTGAATATGCCCCCTTTAGTTTCTGACCATGGAATTAGTGTGTTCACCATCATTTTGGTCCAAATCTGTTAATATCCTCGTTCAGTAGAAGAGTTATTTGACAAAAATACCTTTAAAAAGGTGGTCACATGGTGGTTCACATGACAATGTAACAAGGATATTGAAAGATTTTTCATGGAATGACCAAAATTATTTTTGGTATACAAACTTAGAGATTGATTCTATTGATTTTCATTGTCGGGAGACGAAACTGAAGAGTTAATCGGAGACCATTTTGAGTAAAAAAACCTTTATTTATTTATTTATTTTTTGTCAAAGACTCAGGATTCCTTCTCTACAATGAAATAAAGAGGACATTGATCTTTTATCTTTATTATTTGGAGGTAAATGGTTTAATAATTCACCAATAACCTACGGATTACCACCGATATTGATAGTTGGGACGGGGTGAAGGATATTACATAATTTTTCAGTGATTCATTGACAACTTTTAGTTTTTTTTTTTTGGTTGATATTGATGTGTCAGTATTTCGTAAAGTTAGTCGATACATCCAGAGAAATCGATATCTTAATCCTTCCTATGAGATATATAATGGTTGAATTATTGGTTGGAACATTGAATTATATGACTGATTCAAAGTTGCATGTCCTTGTTCTTGTATATACATACAAGTAAAACAGTTGAAACGTTTGAACACTGTTCTTTTTGGTAGATGTCTTCGTCCAGATGAGCTATAAATATAAATATTAGTAACATGTCAGTAGCAAATTGATATCGACTGATAAATATGATCAATAGTTGAGGTGGTAATTTCATCTTTCCAAGCTGCTGCCGCTGCTGCATTCTCACAGGCTTAAGTGATTGATACAGATTGATATCGACTGATAAATATGATCAATAGTCCTTCTTTTGTCTACAAATTACAACTACTGATAGCTAACCCTAATTAATGGATATTTTTAGAACGTGGCTTGCAGTGAAATGAAGCACTTTAATATTCCAGATTGGGTAATTGTGACCTAAAATTGACGTTTGATTGTAGACAAAAACAAACAAGCCAAACCATCATATAAAACCAACTTGGTACTTGCATATAAGCTCTAATCAAAGGGCTCGTTTGGTGGTTAAAATTGGATTGTACTGCATAGATCACTAGATTCAACGTAAGTATTCTGGTGCTGGTGAATCATACGATGATGGTTAGGGGAGGTTGAAATGCCTTAATAAGTATTTTCGGTCATTGAAATTGTGGACTGTCGTGGCGTAATCACTAGTTCATTCTCTTTTTGAAGAAAATAATAAAGAAATGAAAAAGTATTGTACAAGTTAAAAATAAAAAAATGAGTTATTCATAACAAAAACTTACTCATTTCAGTCTTCATAAAATAATAAGATACCAATATATCTTATGAATTATCTTTTACACTCTAAATATAATCTGTCATCTTTACCTATTATTGACATATATTAAACTTATGAGTTATTCGATTCAATCTTTAACGCCAAACGAATTCAAAACGATTCATTATTGGAGATTAAGATATAGTGGCCATCGAAAGATATATAACACGTGTTGTAGGTTAGTATAATATAATTAATTTAAAGAAAGAACAACAAATTATTGGATTTTGATGATTAGATAATGAAAGGGGTCCCACACATCTCCAGCAGCTCCTCAGGACCGCCAAGGATGACCTCACATTAGACATCACAATTTATAAAATATACAAGCAACTCTGATGTTAAATAAACATCAAAGTGTTCAAATTTCAAACCAACAAAGCTGCCGATATGTGGACCACAATATTTGTTCTGCAAATTAACATATTAAAATGAGATTGAAGATAAATTTGGGATATTAAAATTATGGGCAAAAGACTGTTTACTACCCTCATGTTTCATGGTTTTCAACATTTAGTACATCAATTTTTTTTCGTCTCAGAGTCATACCTAAAGTGTAAATTTTAGGACAATCTCATACATCCGTTAGTCAAACTGTTAAGTCAGCTGTTAACTGTGACGTGGCGTCCATGTGGTCAATGACTTGGCGCCACGTGTCATCCAGGTGGAAATTTTTTAAAAAAATTATAAAATAATATATATATATATATATTATAAAATAAAATTAAAAAAAAAAAAAAAAAAAAAAAAAAAAAAAACCGAATCTGGGCAGATTCGGAAGAGGAAGAAGAAGAAGAAGAAGAAGGAGAAGGAAGAAGGAGGAAGAAGAAGAAAAAAAAAGGAAAAAAAACTGGGCAGATTTGAAGAAGAAGAAGAAGAAGAAGGAGAAGGAAGAAGGGGGAAGAAGAAGGAAGGA